CTTAACATTAAGCAAAAATATTAAAACAGCCAGGCATGGTGGCGCACGCCTGCAGTATCAGCTACTTGGAAGGCTGAGGCAGAAGGACTGCCTGAGCCCAGCAGGTCGAGGCTGCAGTGGCTGTGAGTATGCCACTGCACTCCAGCCGAGGTGACAGAGTGAGACTCTGAATCAAAAAATTAAAAAAAAAAAAAATTAAAACAAACTAAATCTAGCTACTAAAAACAAATCATATTCCATCACCACAAGCTTGCTTTTACCCCAGGAAGAGAAGGTTGACTTAACAGAAATTCAATTCACAGAACTGACAGACAGAAAACTATAATGTTCTCAATAAATACAGAATACAGACAAAAATTATAATTTTCTCAATAAATACAGAGCTTTTGATAAAACTCAGCATCATTTATGATTATTAAAAATAAAAACTCCTAGCAAACTAAGAGGGAAACTAGAAGGGAAATTTCTATATTTAATAAAATGCTTACAGGATACTTTAAAAGCATTCCCAAAGAACAGGAACAAAACAAGAATGCCTACATATGATCACTTCTATTAAGCATTGTACTAGAAATCCCTGCAAATGAAGTAAGACAAGAAAAAGAATAATAAAAGGTATGAGGAATAGAAAGACAAACAAATCTGTCATTACTTGTAGATAATACATTTGTATACATAGAAAGTTCAAAAGAATCAACAGATAAATGACTAGAACTGATACGAGAATTCAGCAAGTTTGCTGAATAGAAAAAATCAATTTAAAAGTGTTATTTCCATGGCGACTATCTTTGAGCAATGAGACTATGGATGATTTTTATTATTTTCCTAAATTTTCTATATGAACAAAAGACACTATGTTATTTTTAAAAAATAAAAGTGTTATTTCCACCTACCAGCAACAAATAATAAAAAACCTTATCTATAAGAGCATCAAAAAAATAAATAAACAAAATTAATTAACAAAATATTTGTAAGGAGTACGTCTACAAAAAAAATTATGAAACTTTAAACAAAGATTTAAGGAAGACCTTATAATGGTAAGGTAACATTAATTCACCAGAAAATGCACATATTATAAAGAAGAACTTGCTCACAGACCAAATACAATCATCATCAAAATCCTAACAGATTTATTTTTTTTTGTTGAAACTTGACATGCTAATTCTAAAATCTTTAAAAAATGCAAAGAATTGATGACAGCTAAAATCTTAAAAAACAAGGTATAAAAAGACCTGTTTTATCAAATAGCGAGATTTTTAAAAGCATTAGTAATTAAGACAGTATGTTACTAGTATATGGACAAACTGATCAATGGAATAAAACAAAATCCAGACATAGGCTCATGTGAATATGGGCATTTAATAGATGAAAAAACTGGCTTGTTCTATCAATAGAGAAAGATGACTTTTCAAGAATTGAGAATTAAAAAAAAAAAAAGAACATGGTTACCTATCTCTCAGCCCATACACAAAATTCAATTTAAGTAGAAGACAAAACTATACTTATTTTAGAACATAGTGGAGAAGATATTCATGACCTCAGGAGATGGAACTATTTCTAAACGAGATACAAAAATACCATCAATAGAGAAAAAGACTGACACATTTCACTAGGAGCAGAAAGATAAAGAACTGTAGGAAGTAATTTGAAATAATTATAACCAAAGGATTAGTATCCTGAATATAGAAATAATTCTTATTAACTAAAAAAGTCAAATGATACAATTTTTTTAAATGGGCAAATTATTTATACAGGGACTTCACAAAAGAGGAAATCTAAATGGTAAATAATCTGTGGGAAAAAAAATTACCTTATGGAAACACAAATTAAGCAACAATGAGGTACCATTATAGGCCCAAAAGATTTTAAGCAGTTTTAAAGTTCTGACAATACAAAATGTGGAAACTTCCAAAGGTGCTGATGAAAGCACTGATTGATATAATTATTTTGGGAATATTAGGTATTGCCCAGTAAAGTTGAACAATTCCGTCGCTAGTATTTTCAAGAGATCATACATGAGTGCAACAGGTCATATATACAAGGATGTTCATAGTGGCTTTGTTCAAAATAGCAAAAAAGTTGGAACAATTCAAATGCCTTCATAGAAGAGATATATACCTATGGTATATTATTATGATGGACACTGTAATGAAAACTACAGTCATATACATTAACATGAATGACACTGAATGTTGAATAAGTCACAAAAAATGATATCCTATTTATCAAATACAATTTAATACTTTATTAAATTTTATTTTATTAATGTTTAATTTTGCCTGAAATTTTAGATTGCTTTTAAGGAGTGCAAACATCAGTACTACTCAAAGTATGGTCCCATACTGCCAGCGAACTGGCTGATGAAGTTATGGATAAGCACATAAAGTTAGAGTAAGCATTTTAGAAATGCTTAACAATCTGAATTGTCAATATGTTCAAACATGTGACTGTGTTATTTACAAACATATGTTTATGAAGGTTTAGAAAATTTTTTAAAATATTGTGAGAACTAGTACACATACATAACTGGTAAAAATACAAAGGAATGAAAGAAATTATTTCCATTACAAGCAAGATACTGGTTATCTTTAGTGGGGAGATTCAGTAATGTGACCAGGAAAGGATACACAGGCATTTTCTAAAGCACTAGCAATGTCATATTTCTTAACTTGAGCTCTGGCTATATTAAGTTTGTATTTTATAATTTTACTTTTCATTAAATTGTATACCTTGAATACCTTCTACTATATTGATATATTTCACCATTTTAAGTTTAAAAATATGTTACAGACAGTATAACAACAATCTTTTAAAGATGCAAATATCCATAAAAATAATGGCAATACACCAAAATGAAGGATGGGAGTGTATAAGTAGATTTTCATTCTTTGAACCACTATTTATCAAATTCTTATGTTGTTGCAGTTTCTTTTTAAGGTAGTGGTGATCATTAGTAATCACTAGCACTAAAAACAGATTATGCTAGACCAATTTTACTTCTAGTAACTTTGCTGGATTTCAGCAAGGAATCTAATGCCTAACCATGACAAAAAACAGAATAACATTATTGTATTTTCCTCCAGAATTTGGAAACTCCTAAGATGGAGAAGTTACTCAGGAGATCAAATATCACTTTATTGTTAAAAAAAGTTAAAGAACACGTTTTAAAATCTGTAGACGTTGCTAACACCTATATCCCTAAATTGGAAATTAAACCACTCAATTACCAGCATAACATATCCAGGGCCTACCCTGTGGGGAGACAAAGTTAAACACCTTAAGGAGTAAGTCTTTTGACTTACATATTCTTTTCTTCTTCTAGCACCCTGTAAACATCTTGGACCTTTAGAGTCCATTCTGCTTCATTAGTTGTGTAACATTAGTTACTTGTATAGTATGCATTCTCTGCCAATCAGGTTATGTTCCTGGAGGTCAGACTGTCTTACTCACTTTTGAAACTTTAGAAGACTATTATGTGCATGATAAACATTCAAACAATCTTATATTTGTGTCATGTACTGTTTAAGAGCCACATGAATAGAAGCCACAGTAAGAACTTTAGGAACTAAAGAAAGATCGGGAGACTAGGATTGGACCAATGATAAAATTATAGTGCTTATATATGCTAGTATGATCCGAAGTGTTTTACAAACACTCTCATTATACTACATGGTACTACCTTAGTAACAGATGAAAACCAAACAGTTAACAAAATTCAAGATCACACAACCATGATTTCAACATGGCTATGACTCTAAAGCCAAACCACTGAACTGCTGTTGAGCTACAGTGAAATCAAGATAGCTAAGACTTCAGAGATCTATCCTTAACTGGTGTTTGGAAGGCAATACTGCACTGTGTTTGAGGACTCTGGACCAGACTGCTATGGTTCGTGTTCAAATTCTGTCAATTACTTTGTGATATGAGATTTCTTAACCCCTTTATGCCTCAGTTTCCTCATCTATAAAATGAAAATAAACTTGTTTCACAGAATCACTGCAAAGATAAACTATATCAATACAAGTAAAACACTCAGCAAAGCAGCCAACACAGGGTAAGCATTCAATAAAGGTTAACTTATATTTACTATTATTTTCTTGTTACTTTTAGAGAATTGTGCCTAGGAACCAGAGTGTCCTCTTTAATTCATTATGAAGGGAAACAAAAGTACTGATGCAACTGGGTATCATACAACCTAAAGTTAATTTACTTAAAAAGTAATACCTCTTTAGAGCAACTGATGGCTTACTCCTTTAATTCACACAAGTTTTCAATAAGGAATGCAAAGAGAAAGTTACAAACTACGCAGTACAGAGGAGGTACTTCTGTTTAACTTTCTTTCTTGGTCAGTCCCTCAGATGTTTTAATAAAATACCAAATAAATAATCACTCTAGTTACAAAACTGTACTCCAAGCTGTACATTTATAAGGAACTTTAGAAAGATTTAAATTTTGACAGAAACAAATGAAAACTTAAGCAATCCCCCTACTGGAAATATACCCTGAAGAACTCAAATCACTCTATAAAAAAGATACCTGCACACGTATGTTTATCGCAGCATTGTTCAAATAGCAAGAACCTGGAACCAATCATGCTGTCCATCGAAAGAGGACTGGATTAAAAAAATGTGGTACATATACATGATGGACTACTATGCAGCCATAAAAAAGAACAAAATCATAAATTTTGCAGCAACCTGGATGGAACTAGAGTCTATAACACTGAGTGATCTCTCACAGAAACAAAGAACAGAGTACCAAATGTTCTCATTCATAATCGGACCTTGGACAATTATCATAATACGAAAGGAATTGGCAGCAATGGGAAACTGCCACGGTGGGGAATGGAATTGGAAATTGAGGGAAACTTCCAGGGGTGGGAGGGGCACACCTCATCAACAAGGGTATCTGCACAATGCATATTTGTATACCTAACCCTTAATTGTACTCCACAGTTTTAAAATAAAAAATATGTTTAATAAAAAAAAATGAAAAGTCAATTTGTTGAAAATTTTTTTTTATTCTACGAGAAATTGATTGGTGCAATCCTGTTATTAGAGAAATTTCTTTTGTTTTTTCAAAAGTAAATGAAAAACTCCTCTGAATTGCGTATATATTAATTTGTTTAATTTATGAAACAATAGTCATAAGGGCCTGCTTTGTCCTATATAACTACAAGTGTTACACATTTACAAACTGAAACAAAAATGAACAGTACAGAGATTTAAATAAAATCTTTCAAAGAATAAATTTGCTTTTCAGTCCACTGTTATTTTCAAAGTTGATTATCATCAAGCCTGGATGAAAGTTGTGAACCACAAACCATTTATTTCTTTAATAGAAAAAAGAATGTTTAGATTATCAAAGTAATATCTTAAAATGTATCTTCACACAGTTGAAATTTTAGTATAAACTTATATAACAAGTCACTCTTCCTTATTATTCTACTTTAAAAATATATACAACTATGATGTTCAAATACGTATTCTGAGCCATTATGTTCAAACATAAATATTTGAGAAATTCAAACTGCTGCAACAAGTTACGAAAAGATTAAGGAGAAATGACAAGCTACAAATATGTAATAGGAGGAAGAAAAATATGTTACTTAGTATTTATTTCTGGATAGATATGTATTTTCTAATTTATACATACATATCTAGTTGCATATAGATAGTCATCAAAATTTAGCTAGTTACAAAGAGTCCAGGCTAAGTCCACACTATTTTCTATAACAGGTTAACAATGATGATTTCAAAAATTTTAATATATCTCAATAATTTCACCAAAAATTATTTGTGATAATAGCCTAATATCATGAAGTTTTGAGAGACACAGAGTAAATGAGTGCACTATCTGTGCCAAACTCAATAAGATCTATACCTGATTCTGTTTTAATTATGGTATAAGTATCCGAACACAACAGTATAGATGGGCAACCAGAAAAGGACATTTTGCATATGCCCATGCTTATCAATCACATTAACATTAGTGCTTTAAACTTTCAAATCGAAATATAAATGAACACATATAAAGCTGCAGGACGATTCCAATGCAAGAACCCAAACAGATGAATATGCAAAATCTTACACTTTATTTCTTAACTCATTGATAAATGTTGTTTAAGGAGTACTATTTGGTCTTCAAAAATCTTAAAATTAAAGGGTTGAAAACATGTTCACCCCTTGCTACACTGTGGCATCTGAAATTAGTAAGCACGACAACTTGAATTTGTTTTGCTCTTACATGCGAGAAGTGTATATATGCATTTTAAGAGAGCTTAGACTTAACAATTAACTTCTAGTGACAGTAAGTGACTAGAATGGCTATCCAATCAATATTCTATGGTTTCACATATCAAAATCTTTACAAAATGACAGTCCTGTTCAGTACTCATCACCTTTGGGTAGTAAAGAGTGGCATGGCAGAAAAGCAGTTACAATTTTTAAAAAAGCAGAAAAGTTTTAAATATCTATACAATTTTGCATCATCCTGTATTCTATTCTAGAATACCTGGAACAAAATCTTATTTCAATCAACTCAATCTATACAAGTTATAAGATATAAACACAGTCTAAACCCTATAGTGTACAGAATATGCACTATTGAATATTCATTACATAAAGTACAATCAGTGAAGATTACCAAATAGGAAACACACAGCATTCTACATTTTTAAATCATTTTAAGATTGCTAACCAGATACTGTAGAAATAAAATGTACAAGACAAAAAAAATGCTAACCAGATACTGTAGAAATAAAATGTACAAGACAAAAAAAGAAAAACAAAGAAACTAACTTTTCAGTGCATCACACCCATGAGGATAAAATGTATGGCACTTACGTGATACTAGAATTAACAACTGCCAATTTAATCTGGAAATGATTCAAAGACATTAAAGCCAGATAAGGGCAAGAACCAGAAAAATAAAATGTTAAAATTAAAGAGATCACCTTTTTTCTTTGTAAAAGCACTGAAAATGTAATGTGCGCAGATAACTCACTAAAAATTTTTCCATTTCATTTTCCCCTTTGTAGTGTCTTAAATAATTCTGTAATTATCCCACCTGCTATAACAGTCTGATTTTTTAAGGCCTGTATAAACTCTATTATGTTACTGAAACTTACTGCTTTCTGTGTGGTAAGAATGCCTTTATGAAAAAATAACATAGCTGGTTATAAATCATAGAATAAATTAAAAAAACAAAAATCCGACACTTTCCAAGCTACTGAGAAATAAATTATACCATAATGTATCAATTGAAAATTTTATCAACGTAACTAACATTCCTATGGTAGACTTTTTTTCCCCCATAAAATTAAACAGTGCAGAATAGGACTTGGGCTACAGTTAATCACACTTGGTTTTCTTATAAGCTAATAAAAGGCAATTTTCTTCCTCCATAATACATGTAGACATTAAATCTAAAGTTTTTAAAATATCAACTGCCTATAAGAAAAGTATTTTTAAATGGTTAAAAGGAATAAAAATATCAAAGTTTAGTGTGCGAAGAGTAGATATAAACAACCGAGAAAAGAGTAGATCATTGATGTTGAATATTTAACATGAATAACCCAAAATCAAGTTCCAAAGTTATTCCACCTTTACAAATAAAAAAAGGTGTCCTTTCCACAGTTTAGGGATATGCATTGTACATCCCTCCCAACAAATGTATGAGTAAGGTTTTAAAAATGTTGCCAATATTAAGTTCTTCAGTACCTAAAACTAGAGAACAGCAATATTACAGTGGCAATGGTGCATCAATTCTCAAACGTAGTTATGATCCAACACGAGTTGTGGTGGTTCTTTTATCTGAGAAAAAACTTTTCAAAAGAAATACCTGCCCTATGCTAACCACCAGAAGTATGAGGGCTTCTCCCACTGACCAATAGGCCACTCTTGTATTTAGATCCTCTGCTCGGCTTCGGCCTTGAGCTTCTCTCAAACGGAAATGAGTCTGATAATCGATGACAGATTTCAGAGCTTCATGAATTGAAACACAGGCAGATTCCATCTAAAGAGAAATATTTTCAATTAGTAAGTTTGATACTTTCTGTATACTCCATCGAGCATATTCATCTTTTCTTTCAATTTGATCTCAATTCCTCATTTGATTAACATTCTACTAAACTGGCATTTATTCATTCATTTACACCAGTTGTCCTAGCAATGCAACCCTTTTACTCACTACCACAAGGACAACTGGTAAGGCTAGAGATCTCATGAAGCAATTGTGTTCCTGAACTGGGATAGCACAGACATGCACTGGTAACGTGGGAGATGGAACACTAAGCTAACAATAGCAGAAATACTGATCAGCTAAGATTGGTGGATATAGAATTTCCAACCTAGGTTCTTCAAAGAATTAGGAGGAAGAGGATGTCAGTAAGATCACCAACAATAATACTATAAATCAAAGCAAAATAGCTATAAAAATAAACCAAATATGGCATAAAACAGGCTAAATTAATCAGTTATTTGACCTATCTTAAAAACAAGCAAAACAGTATCAAAATCCTTAGTTAACTTCTGAATATGAAAGCGATATATCAGAAAAAGGAATGTCTTTTTAAAAAACATTTATCTATTTACTAAATAAGTCTTCTCCTTCAGGCTAGTCAGCTAAACCAATATATAACCTCTCAACAAGATGCAAGTTTCAGTTTCACTTGTAATCATTTGTTTGTGATTCTTCATTTGATAACACTTTACCTTTTTATATGTTTATTACACCACATGCTTTGAGAAAGGTTAAGTGTCTAATTGTTTTGTATACCATGGTTTAATATTTTTCTACTGCTGTAAACTTAATCCTGATGGTGAAATATATGTTCTATTACTATGTTATATAACAAACCATGTATTAAGAATTTTTTTTAAAATCTGAGTTTGTCTTAATTTTAATTAAGGAATACAAACATTATAACATGTTTTATCATTTAATAAAGTCTGCCAAGTATGAAAGGAATAATTATGAAAATATTCAATTAAAAGTGTTTTTAAAAAATCTTAAGAGGCCAGGCCAGGTGGCTCAGCCTATAATCCCAGCACTTTGGGAGGCTGGAGAGTGGATTGGCTGAGGCTGTGGGTTCGAGACCAGCCCGGGCAACTTGGTAAGAACTTGTCACTACAAAAATAAATAAATAAGTAATTAGCCCAGTGTGGTAGCACTTGCCTATAGTTTCAGCTACTTGAAAGGCTGAGGTGGAAGGATAGCCCAAGCCCAGCAGGTCAACGCTGGGGTGGCTGTGAGTGTGCCACTGTACTCCAGCCTAGGCGACAGAGTGAGACTCCAACTCAAAAAAAAAAAAAAAATCGAAGAAATTATGAGGTCAACAAATTGAATTTACCTATTAGAACAGTAAAATGTTTTTGTTGTTCTTGTTTTGTTTAGGCTCCAGGAATGAAAAATTAGCAAAACTGTGCTAAAATGAATAATTTCTAACTTGTGATAAGAAGCTACATAGACATTTGCTTCTAGTATTTCTTTGATTTCTACGTATTCTCAAAATGACATATGGCTCAAAGATTCCTCACTTAGAAAGTACACATAAAATTAAGGCTGTGACACAATTCAGAATGTTTATGGATTTCTTGAAGCCCATCCATGGAATATGGACTAAGAACTACAATTGGATTAGAAAAAAAAAATCACAGAAATCAAACTACTAGTTGTATGCATTCACACCATTTCTGTGATGTGTTTTTTAAACAATTTTTAAAGTGGAACTTTTCATACACATTCCAAAGTACAGAGAATAGTATAATCAACTCCCATATTAATAATTAACACTTGATGAATCTTGTTTTATCTATATCCCCCACCTATTTTCCACACTATTTTAAAGCAAATTCCAGATATTTTATCATTTCAGCTACAAATATTTCTATACCCTATTTCTAAAAGATGAAACTTTAAAAAATATACAGCCTCAATAGTATAACACATAATATTATTTAAAATAGTTTCTTAAAGTCATCAATATAAAGTTAGTGCTCACATTTCCCCTAATGTCTCAAAACTTGTTTTCAAATCAGAATCCAAACAAGGTCATTACAATCATTCAGGTGATATGTTTTTAAAGTCTTCTTTAATCTTTTAAGCTCCCTTCCTTCATTTTTCTTTGCCATTTATTTCTTGAAGAAACTGAGGGGTCCACTATCTTGTGGCATTTCCCACATCTTAGATTTTGCTGACTGCATTTTCATGGTGTTCCTTTATCCTCTGTATTTCCTGCAAATTGGCAGTTGAAACTAGAGATCTGATGGGCTTCTGGGTGGGAACACCTCATAGTCAATGTTGTGTACTTCTTATTGCATATTATCACAAGGCACACAAATGTCTAGAGTTCTCGCTCTATTTGTGAATGATCATTAGATTTAGTTGATATCAGTCTGATCTACCCATTATAAAATTCCCCTCCAGCCTTTCACCTAATGGCTTTAGCAGTGACTGGTGATCACTGCCTACTCTAGGTCTATCTTTTTACTAATAGGTGAAAAAAGGTAATACTAAAATGCTATCATTGTTTTCTGTATTTACTAGCTGGTACGTTTTTCTTTCTTTCTTTCTTCTTTGAATCAGAGTCTCATTCTGTTACCCAAGCTGTTGTGCAGTGGCATGATCCCAACTCACCACAGCTTCAACCTCCTGGCTCAGGAGATCCTCCCACCTTAGCTTCCCAAGTAGCCAGGCCTACAGGCACACACCACTATACCCAGATAATTTTTTTAAGCTTTTGCAGAGATGAAGTCTTGCTATGCTGCCCAGGCTGGTCTTGAACTCCTGGGTTCAAGCAATCCCCCCACTTCATCCTCCTAAGAGCTGGGATTCAGACATGAGCCACCACACCCAGACTCCAAATTTTTTAATTTTAAAGTATAAACACTTGAGACTTAATTAGCATTTTGAAAGTAGAAAAATAAGCCTAAGAGAAAATTTAAAATACAATATGAATTAATGAGGTTATGTGATACTAACTGCTTTATTACCATTCATTTTCTACATTTATCCACTTAGGTTTTAGAGCAAGTCACCTTCTGGTATAAGGAAAAACTCATGAAGCAATGGATATAGGTTAAGTTACTGGACCCAAAGTAAAACCACCTTATAAAGCAAACTGCCTTTCACACAGGATCTTAAAAAAAAAAGAACAATTTTTTAAGAGCATTTAAATACATCTTGCTAATGCTTACAATAGGTTTATGAATTAAGGCTTTTACATATTCTTAAAACTGCCTCTGTCACTGCAACTCTGGTCAAAAGAATAAATGGAACCTAGAAACACGGAAATACCTGTTTGTTTTAACAAGTAAGTGGCAAATAATTCCTTCTGATTCCTAATTGAGTATCTTTTAGATAAAATCTAAGCTTATACAGGTGAAGTACCTATCCCTTGTTCAAAATGCTTGGGACAAAAGTGTTTTGCATTTCAAGTGTTTTCAGAGTTTGGATTATCTGCATATACATAATGAGAAATCTTGGGGATAGAGCCCTAGTCTAAACACTAAATTCACTTATGTTTCATATACACCTTATACACAAAGCCTGAAGGTAATTGCATACAACATTTCCAATACTTTTGTTTATGAAACGGTTTGTATAATTTCCCACTTGTGGTGTCAGGTCAGAGCTCAAAAAGTTTCAGATTTTAGAACATTCCAGATTTCAGATTTTCAAATTAGGGATGTTCAACCTGTATAGTATTCGAACTAGAAACGAAACAATCCTTCACAGCACCTGAGTAGTATCTATTCACTGGTTCTAGATTTCTTACACTACCTTTCTTGTAATTCTTCAAAATTTAGTTTTTGTAACTATTTTTTGTGTAGATGACTTCCCATTAATCTTCAATATTTTATCTAAAGTTAGAGTAAAAATTATTTTAACAGCAGTTTGGGTACTGGTATAAAAACCACAATGTAGTATACTTATATATTAATTCAGGTATCATTTTGCTTCCAGTTATACCAGCCTACTAAGGTACGGTAACATTCCTTTATGGATTACAGAAAATGTTTCAGTACATTGGAATGCTGATTAGTCTTCCTAAATTTCCTTTACTACTTATGTTAAACAATATTACCTTAGTGATCTTCCTCTTATTTTAATGCTTCTTGCTGTCTTTATACTTAACAGTTTATAAACTTTTTTTTTTTTTGAGTTGGAGTCTCACTCTGTCGCCCGGACTGGAGTGCAG